TTTTGGGAGAAATTATTAATATAATGGACTCTTCAGTTTACAACTCATTTTAATCATCAGGTAATTCAAACAGCTGATAATAATATAGTTTACACTAATCTTACTTGTATACAAATTGGAGCAATCAGACTAAAATTTTAGATAAGCAAAACCGGTTATCACACTCATATATTTGCAGAGGTAATAAGAAAAATAAAAATTACAAAACGCATTCACTATTGTTCGAATTTTTTGTGGCAAATTATTGAGTAGAATGAAGCGAAATAAAATATAAAAAAGCGTACTTTATTTTTTTCTCAAAAGTCATTTATTAGTTACAAAAATTGCAAGCAGTTGCACTAGTCTTACAGGAGAAATTACAGTCTTACAGGAGAAATTACAGTCTTACAGGAGAAATTACAGTCTTACAGGAGAAATTACAGTCTTACAGGAGAAATTACAGTCTTACAGGAGAAATTACAGTCTTGCAGGAGAAATTTATCAGCTATTTTAAGATGTTCTTAGGCATCAGCGTTAATAAAATCTTCCTTTATCTTCATCAGCAGAAGTAGGAAGACTTACTTCGTCAGCAGCATAACAAAGCCTTAACAGCGTCATGCTCTCCTCTTCAACTATATCAGTAGGATCTTCATTATCAACAGAGTCAAGAAAGCTAGTGTCAGCAGCAGTAAGAGAACCTCATCTGTCACTAGCATTAAAAAGCCATCATCAGTAACAATAGGAGAGCCTTTTCTGTCATCATCATCAAGAAGATTATTGTCAGCAACAGCAGGAGAGCCTTCTCCGTTAGCAGCATCAAGATCATTTATCAACAACGGTAGGAGGACTTTCTCTGTCATCAGCATCAAAAAGGGTATCGTTAGCAGCAGTAGGAGGGCCTCCACTGTCAGCAGTATCAAGACCGTCGCCAGTAGCAGCAAAAGAGCCTCATCTGTCAGCAGTACCAAGACCATTGCCAGTAGCAGCAAGAGAGCCTCCACTGTCAGCAGTATCAAGACCATCACCAGTAGCTGCAAGAGAGCCTCATCTGTCAGCAGTATCAAGGCCATCGTAATTAGCAACAGAAGGGCCTTCTGTGTTAGTAGCATAAAAAAGGTAACTGTCAACTGCAGCGAGAGTACCTAACAGCATAAAGGCCTCCTGTATCAGCAGCATTGATAATTTCTCTTTATTAGCAATGTGAGAAAATTCTCCTTTAATCAGCAGTATTAGCTTCGGGAAATTGTTTATCAGGAGTATTTGGCAGTTCTCCTTTGTCAGCAAAGCCATGTCTTCCTTCAGTAGTAACGACGGATGGTCATTCCTTGTCAGCAACGTTGAGAGGTCTTCCTTTATCAGCAGCATAGGGAGGTCTTCTATCGGCAACATCAAGAGGTCTTCCTTCGCTAGCCAAGTGTCGATAGGTCTTCCTTCACTAGCAACATTAGGAACCTTTCCATCGCCAGTCGCATTGGGAGGTCGTTCTCGTTCGCAGTGTCAATCTTCTTTCATCAGTAACGTCAGGAGATCTTCACCTGCAATGTTGGGAGGTCATTTACAGCCAACAGTTGGGAAGTCTTTCTTTGCTAACAGCGTCGGAGGTCTTGAGGGCAGTATGAGTAATAGGTCCTTGTCCTTTAGTAGCGTTGGAAGGTCATCCTTCACTGGTAGCTTTGGGAGGGCCTTGATAACCAGCAATGCCAGGAGGTTTTTTGCTAGCAGCATGAGAAGGACTTCCATAGCCAGAAGCGCTGGGAGATTTTCCATAGTCAGCAGCGTCAGGTCTTCCTTCACCAGCGGCATTAGATGGTCTTCCTTTGATAACAGCATTAAGAGATCTTCCTAAGACAGCAGTGTTGGGTGGTCTTCCTTTGCTAGCAGCATCAAAATGTCGTCCTTCATCAGCAGCGTTAGAAGGACTTTTTTCACAAACAACATTGGGTAGACTTCTATATCCAAAATTATTGGTAGTTAACATTAAAATTTTAAGCTCATTTCTCTTTACTTTGGTTTTTGATAAATACTTGTATCTCGTCGACCATCTTGAAGCTTTTCTTCCCTTGTCCTTCTTGAAAGCTTATTCCTTGGTTATCTATATATGTTTTCGAGTTTATACAAAAATTAATTTCTTCCTTTGGCTCTTGAAAACATTGTTTTGTTCCTTGGTTCTCTGCTACGGCTGTGGGTCTGCAATGCACTAACGTCTCTTTTTCCTACGGGCTCTTTTCTGAGTGTCACTTCCAGTATGTGGTGACTGTGACCCTTCCTTAGATGGCGGGGACCCATCGTGAGAACCCAGGAGGCCCGGCTGGTCGTATTGGGGCTGCCGGAGTAGATCAAGAGTATCTTTCTCAGTCGTACGTTGGTCCTCTTCGCGCGAAGCACTCTGAACTTGGGGATCTTCAGGCTGGGATTCAAAGGATCCGCTGCTAGCATCAACAGTAGATTCTAAACCTGGCTGTTCTGATTTTAGAGGTAGTGTTTCTTCAGCTGATGGTTCGAGCTGAACATCGGAGATATCCGTGTCTGTTGAACAGGTTTTAGAGGATAAAGATTTGATAGGTTCTTGCTGGCTCAAAGTCACAGTGTCTGGAATGCTAGACTCAGCTAGTTCGGAGGAAGGTTGTTGTAATGTTGATGTGGCCTGATAGCTTAGAGTATCAGATGTTTCTATCTCTAATACAGAAGTGGCTGTCTTTTCTGTAACAGTTTCTGGTTGTGGTGTTGGTAAAGGCATCGTACTTGTAGGTGAGGTTATTGTGTCTGTAGTTGAATCAGTTATCGGTGTGGGAGAAGTTATCTGCGGGATGGGGGATGTTCTTGTATGTACAGGAGGGCTCACTTTAGATGTGGCGGTAGCTTTGGAGATGGCTGTTACCTTGGGTGTAGAAGAAGTTATTTTAGGAAGAGGGCATGTCTTTTGCGTAGGAGAAGATTTCTTTAAAACTGGAAAAGCAGCCTTAGAGGGAGGTACAGACGTTTTGGGGAGTGAAGCTTCTGATTTGGCTGATGATGAACTTTTTGTAGCTTCTGTTGGCTTCGTTTTAGCTAAAGTTGTTTTTTCTTCCATCTTATGCTCTTCTTCAAGAGACAGTCCTTTTTCTGCTATTGACTTTGATTCTTCCACCGATTGCTTGATGTCTTCGTCTTCGTCTGTGAGAGGCTTGCAGTCTGCTTGTAGCTGACTAGAATCTATTACTGGTTCATAACCTTCTGTTGGCTGAGAATCCTTCACTTTAGAAGATTCAGTGACCTCTGTTGCTGTTGGCTCAGTTTTTTCTGTTGTTTGTGTATCTCCCACTGGTTTTATTGTTTTGGTGAGTGACGGTGAAGCAGATATAGTATCTCTTGGAGGATCTGTGAGACCGAGGGTCTGAGGGCTTGTGGTGAGGGCACTGTGATCTGTTGAAGATTTTCCTGTCTGTTGTGTAAGGGAGCTAGGCTTTGGCTTAAGTGGAGGCTTAGTTGATTGGACTTTGGTGGAGCTGTCTCTTGAATGTTTTCGAGGTGTTCCATGTCGACTAGTTTTTGACTTAACTCTTTGTGGTGAAGGAGAACTAAACCTTGATCCTTTTATTGCCTCTGTTGTTGATAATAATGACTTATGAACTTTGACAGGAAAGTCTGTCATTGTTGCTATTGATGCTGTGCTTATTTTTGAGGCAGTGCGCTCAGAATCTGCAATGGGATGTGGGATACGGTCGACTGAATGTACACGGGGCATTGTTTCTGATTGTAGTACACTGATTTTGTCCATTGCTACTGTGGTTTTCTCTGGTGGCGCCTCGGATTCGGGTTCTGAAGGAGGCAATTTTGAAGTCGCCGTATCTGGAAGGATGGTAACTTCTGATTTAGGTAAAGTGTCAGATAAAATTAATGATGTTGGAGCCGGTAATGAACCGAGTGTCTGTGAAAGCTCTATATTCGGTTTAGGTTCCTCCTGAGATTTTTCAGGAGACTCAGATGGTTGTTGCGCGAGTTGCATAGGTGGAGTTACGTCTTCTTGGAGAGTCTTCGTGGTTGGAAGGGTTACTAGTTGTTCTCTGGGATCAGGAGAAAGAGGTTGGGAAATACCACATGGAAATATAAGCGTCTTTAATGGTGAAGTGGGTTTTTCTGGTTTTAATGAAGGTCCTACTAGTGGTGGGACTTTTTCTTCAAGTAGATCTATTGTTGCTGGCGGAGAAGCGGATGTAATGAGGTCTGGAGATCTTACTGGCGGAAGAATTGGAGCTTCTGACTTTGGAGTGACAATTTGAAGCTCGGCTTCCTTCTGTACAGGAGAAGGTGGTTTGTGCGTTTCATCAGAAGACCTAAGGGTTTCAGATGTCAATGTGGGAAGTGGTGAGATATCGTCTGCAATCTTTAGAGTTTCTGGAGGCGGTGAAAGCATTTCTGGTTGTGTCTGTGTTATAGCTGACTGAGAAACCAAGTCTGAGGTTATCTCAGGTTCTGGTTCCCTGGTGGAATCTATGATTTTCTGTGGTATGGGTGAAAGGGGCTTCGATACACCTTCTGGGAATTTTAACTCCAGTATGGCAGTTGCAGTTTCTGTTACTGATGGATCTTGAGTTGAAAGTTTCTCTAGTGGTACTTCAATTAATTCCTCAACAGCTGAAACACTCTGTGACTCTGATATCGGCGATGGAACCTGCTTCATTTCATCTGATTTGGCTATTGTAGAGACGGCTTCAGGTTCTAGAACCTTGGATGACTCAATAACTTTTGGTGGTACAGGTGAAAGTGGCTTTGAGACACCTTCAGGGAACTTCAGCTCCAGCAAGGTAGTGGTAGTTTCTTCAGTGACAAGTTCCTTAGCTATTTCACTGCTTAATGCTTCAGGAACATCACTCCTGGGCTTAGTTATTGAGGAAACAGCTTTTGCAACCTTTTTGTAAAGCTTTGTTTCATCTGATTTTGATTTTTTGGAAGTTGCGCGAGGCACTGGAGCTTTGCTTGAATCTAAGATTTTTGGTGGAACGGGTGAAAGAGGCTTCGAGACACCCTCAGGGAACTTCAACTCTAATAAGGCGCTGGTAGTATCTGTGGCTTTTGAGTCTTCAGTTACAGGTTTCTCTGGTGGTGCGATACTAGGTGATTCAAGTATTGCTGAAGCTTCAGGAAGAACACTTCGAGGCTTTGCTGTTGGCAAAATGACCTTCAAACTACGTTTAGTCTTTTTTGAAGCTCTGTCAGACACGGGAGCCTTGCTTGAATCCGTGATTTTCGGCGGAACAGGGGAAAGAGGCTTCGATACACCCTCGGGGAATTTTAGTTCTAGTAAGGCAGCACTAGAATCTACTGCAGCAGAGTCTTCAGTTGCGGGTTCTTCTGGTACTGCTTCGGGAGCAACACTCCGGGACTTTGTTATTGAAGAGATAGCCTTTGAAACCCTCTTGTAAAGCTTTGATTCATCTGATTTTGGCTTTTTGATAGCTTCATCAGGCCGTGGGGCCTTGCTTGAATCTAAGATTTTCGGTGGAACAGGTGAAAGAGGCTTCGATACACCTTCTGGGAACTTCAGCTCGAGTAAGGTAGTGGTCGTGTCTGTTGCTGTTGAGTCTTCGCTTATAGGTTCCTCTGGTGGAGCAATACTTGGTGATTCAGGTGCTTGATCACCTTTAGGAGCAACAATTTGGGATTCAGATACAGCCTTGCTCGAGTCTACGATTTTCGGCGGTATAGGTGAGAGTGGCTTGGAGACGCCTTCAGGAAATTTCAGCTCCAGTAAAGTCATGCTGGAATCTTGAGTCACAGGTTCCTCATGTGGCTCCTCGATTTTTTCCTCATGTACTGGAAGAGCTTCAGGGGCAACGCTTTCAGGCTTAAGTCTAGGTGAAACAGTCTTCGTAGCCTTTTTATGAATCTTTCTTTCATCAATTTTTGACTTTTTTGAGACTGAAGCATCTACTGAAGCCTTGCTTGAGTCTACGATTTTTGGCGGTATAGGTGAAAGGGGCTTTGAGACACCTTCAGGAAACTTCAGCTCCAGTAAGGCACTCCCAGTGTCTTCAGTTACAAATTCCTCAGGCTGTGCCTCACTTGGTTCTTCAGGTGCAACAGTTTGGGGCTTTGGTGCTGTGGAAGCAATTTTTGGAGCCCGTTTATGAACCTTTGTTTCATCTGATTTTTTCTTTTTGATGGCAATTTCAGGTAAAGGAGCTTTGCTTGTATCAATGGTTTTAGGAGGTAGTGGTGAAAGAGGCTTTGAGACACCCTCGGGAAATCTGAGCTCAAGTAAGGCAGTTCCGGTGTCTTCAGCTACAGGTTCTTCTAATATTTTCTTTTTAGTGACAGTTTCAGGCAAAGGTTCCTTGCTTGAATCAATGGTTTTAGGAGGTAGTGGTGAAAGAGGCTTTGAGACACCCTCGGGAAATTTGAGCTCAAGTAAGGCAGTTCCGGTGTCTTCAGCTACAAGATCTTCTGGTAGTGCCTCACTTTCTGCTTCTGGAGCAACAGTCTGGAGCTTAGGTTTTGTGGAAACAGTCTTCGAAACCCGTTTATGATGCTTCGTTTCATCTGATTTTTTCTTTTTGGGAGTAACATCAGGCAAAGGAGCCTTGCTTGTATCAATAACTTTAGGTGGTAGTGGTGAGAGAGGCTTCGAGACCCCTTCAGGGAATTTTAGTTCCAATAATTCAGTGCCTGTGTCTTCAGTTACAGGTTCCACTGGTGGGGCTTCGCTTGGTGCTTCAGCAATCGAAGCTTCGATTTCATGAAGCTTCGATTCTTTTGATTCTTGTTTTTTAGAAGGTACATCAGAAACTGGAGCCGTTTTTGATTCCACCATTTTGGGCGGTAAGGGTGAAAGAGGCTTCGAAACACCCTCAGGGAATTTCAGCTCTAGCAAGGTAGTGCCAGTATCTGTTGCTGAATCTTGAGTTTCAGGTTTATCGGGTGGTGCCTTGCTAGGCTGTTCAGGAACACTTCGGCGCTTTGCTATTGGTGAAGCAGTCTTCGAAACTTTTTTATGCAGCTTCGTTTCAGTTGACTTTGTCTTTTTTTTAGGGGTTCCATCAGGCACTAGAACAGTGGTCAATTCTTGAATTTTTGGCGGTATGGGTGAAAGAGGCTTGGAGACACCCTCAGGGAACTTCAGCTCCAGTAAACCAGTCCCGGTGTCCGGTGGTGCTGATTCTTGGGTAACTTGTTCTGGTTTTGGTTGAGCAGTCGTCGAAGCCTTTTTATCAATCTTAGATTCATCAGTTTTGGGTTTTATTTTTGAGATTTCGTCAAGAGATGGAACTGTCTTTGCATCTGTAATTTTGGGAGGTAAGGGTGAAAGAGGCTTTGATACACCCTCAGGGAACCTCAACTCCAGTAAGTCTGTAGTAGTGACTTTAGTTACGGTTTCTTCCGGTGGTGCTTCAGTTGGTGTTTTGGAATCAACAATCTCTAGTTTCGGTTGTGATGAAACAATCTTTGAAGCCCTTTTATGATTTTTTTTTTCATCTGATTTTATTTTTTTTGAAATTTCTTCAGACACTGGAGTCTTGCTTGGATATGTAGGTTTCGGTGGTATGGGTGAAACAGGCTTTGACACACCCTCGGGAAACTTTAGCTCCACTAAGGTAATGCTTGTGTCTATTGCTGCTGAGTCTTGGGTTAGAGAATCCTCTGGTGGTGCATCACTTGGTTTAGAGGCAGCTTTGCTCTCTGGAGGAGGCGTAGGGGGAACTGGTGATCCTATTTGCGGAACCTCAGGGGGCACTATGTTTTCTGGTGTTTCTCCCTGGGTATCTGGGTCTAACTTTCCCTTTGCCTCTTCCTCCCGTCGTGCACTTTCCAGTTCAGATTTTTCTAATGATTTCCTCTCCTTCTTACGTTCACTAGATTTCCTATGGCTCCTTCTCTCTTTTCGGCCCACTCGTGGACTCCATGTAGCAGCGGAAGCTGGAAATGATTCTGTTACTTCTCCAGTGTCACCCTCTGGCATGACAGGTGGTGGATCTGTTTGTCTTTCCTCGACAGTCTCTGGTTCTGTTCTTTCATCCTTGCGATCCTCGGGTTCATCTGTATCCCGCGTATTGTGTCTTGATTCACGACTTTTTCCTTTTTTTGCTCTGGATGGACTCGTGCTATCATATTCACCAGAATCAAATGATTTATGCTCCTCACGATGTTTCCCGTGCTTTCGATGACCACTACTAAGTTTCTCTTTCCAGAACTCGTCCGAAAACTTATCTTTGCTAGACCTAACTGAGCCTTTTTTTCGGGGGTTGGTAGTTTGATGCTCAGCGTCAACAGTCTGGGGCTCTTCTTGAACACTTGCTTGCTCCTCCAGTGTGCCTGCTCCTCTATCTTCATGTTCTGCCTTTTCTACTTCCTCTTGATCAACATAAACGAACTCTACAACTGCTGGTTCTGCGGCCTCATGTTCTTGTTTTTCAGCTGACTCTTTAATATCATTATAACCACGTTCTACGGTGCTTGTTAGGTCACCCTCTGCTTTTTTAGTTGTGTCTTCAGCAGGTTCGTATTCGTCATCTGTCTGATCAAGAACATCTATTTCATGTTCTTCAGGTTTCTTTACAGCAGCATCAGGCTCTTTTTCCTCATCTTGAACATCGGCCCCATTTTCTTCTGTTACCTTGTGTGCAATTTCGCTTTCTCTTTCATATGTCTTATCAATAACATCATCAATGGCTGGAACAGTAATATCCCCATCTCGCTCTTCACCTGTTGTGAGTGTAACCTCAGGTTCTTTGTCTTCACTTTTCTTTTCAGCTGTTCTTTCAATTTCATCCAGCTGTGTTGTTTCAGGGGTCTCATCTCTATGCAAGTCTTCTGCCTTCTCGATTGAGACCTCTTCACCTATAGTTCCCGCCAAGCCAGTGGCAGCAAGTTCTTGTTCTCTCTGCGGAAGAACATCGCTTACATCAAGAAATATACCTTCAGGGACTTCCGGAGGTTCTTCTGTCGGCTCGTCTTCTACCGGAGAAGGTTCAGGTGTTTCCGGGGAAGCTCCCTCGGCCTCGGTTGACTGAGGGATGGTAAGATGCATCTCGGGTCCCTCGTTACTCTTGGTGCGTCGACGGTGGTGTTTCCGCTTCTTGCTCCCGCCTTTCGCTTCTTTATCTGCCTTTGATATTTTCGGACTTCGGCTTTTATCGGAGTCCTTGCTCACAGAAGGCGATTTTGACTTCTCTCTTCCTTTACGATGCCGTCGTGATTCATCCATTTTTCTTCTGGGTGTTTCTTCCTGAGGAATAATGTTTATATTTGGTTCGTCCACTTCAGACGTTCTTATTTCTGGAATTTCTTGTGTCTTGGTGTCCGGGTTCTCTGTTTGAATGGTTCCTAACCCATTCTCTGTTTTATGAATTATTCCATTTACTTTAGTATCACTATTTGCGACTTCTTTCGTGCTCTCTATGATATCAGGTTCTGTTGTTGTTGGGCCTGTCTCATAGACTGCATTTTCATCCAGAATTAAATGATGTGCGCCTTCCAAAAGAATTTCCTCTTTTTCTTTACTCTCTGAAGGCAAAACTTCTCCAGTTTCCAAATGCTCAGTAACTGGAGCTTCTCTTGCTGGTGACTCAGGTGGCTGGGCATCGGTACTTACTGCTTCAACTACTTGCTCCGGTGGAGTCTCGGATACAACTGTCTCTTGTGTTTCTTCTCTTGCTTTCATTTCTTCTTCTTCAGTGCCTGTTTCAACCTTTAGATTCTTATCCACTTCTTCAATTATTTCCTTTTCTAACATACTTAAATCTTCAGTTACTTTTTGGAGGCCCTCTTTAGCAGGAATTTGTTCGACAGCTACTTTTTCCTTGTCTGATACATCAGTGGGTGCTGCTTCCCTGTCGGCCACATCCATAGATGTTTCTTCTTTGTCTACCGCATCCGTAGATGTTTTGTCAGAGTTCTCCAAACTGGCCCCTCCATTACTAACTATGCCCGTCTCTCCCTCGCTCTCAGCTGTACTAGCATCTTGTTTCAATGTATCCATATTGACTGACTCTTGACTATGTAGACCATTTGCTTCATCTTTCTTGCCTTTCTCATCGTCCGACGATTTTGATTCGGAGGTGACGGAAGACTCCTTGCTTCTCGTTTCATCTGCTTCCACTGACTCACTTTCTGTTCTTTTCGTTTCAGTCTTGGGTGCTTCTTTAATGCTTTCAGCAGCTTCGGTCTTATCACAGACTTTTTCGGGGACGATTTCCTCCTTCCTGCTTCCTATTCTTGCGACTCCTTTGATCCATTCTTTGGCCTTACCCACAAGAGTCTTACGATCTTTTACAGAGTTATCAATTTTGCTCTCCATCTCTAGTGCCTCTTGTCCAGTCTCCGTCACAGCTGTTACCTCCTGATCAGTCTGCGTTGCCTCTTCTACCGTTACAGCATCTACGACCACAGTTGCTGTAGTGTCCTCTGGTTTAGTTATATCTATTCCTTCTCCAGGTTGTCCAGCTTCACATACCATGTCGTTCTTGTCACTGGCGAGCTGTTGGGTCTCCTCGGCATGGTCATTCGAGGCGAGGGAAGAGGCACTGTCCAAAACATCGGGCATCGACCAGTCTCGGGAGGCGTGATAGGAGAGCTCTGAGTCGTCCCCTTTTCCTTCGCTTTTGGGTTTTTGCTCATCGCTGGAGGTTCCTGAGACAGTGTCCTGTTGCTCGTCGATGCTGCCTCCGCTGCTTTGACGTGGGGAAGATCCCTCAGGCTCAGAGGCGCTCTTATTTTCTCTCTCAGACTTCTTCTGTTGAGAGAATTTGTTCTGAATTTGATTGATCTTGCCGGTAAAGCTTCCCTTGCTCCTTTTCTCTTTTCTGCCTTTTGCATCTGATTTTTCCATGGCCATGTAAACGTCTTTTTGATCACCCTGTTCTTCTCTTTGGCCCCGAAAACAAGGAAATTTTGGATTTCCACTTGCAGCCTTTACTTGATTGTCCTCCACTTCTCCTTCACCTGGCTGATACTCAGGATAAAGACTGAAAAACAAACTTTGGGCATCAGCCTCCTTGGTGACACTCTCACCAGGAATCTCTGGCTGTTCCACGTCTTCTACAAGTCTAATGTGATCCTCGCGATCAAGATCTTCCCAAACTGGAGATCCAGAGCGAATTTCAATTAGTTTTTCTTTCTCCTTGTCCATTGGGGTCAGGAGAGTGTCTTCAAGCGATCCTTCGGACAGTACAGCGGAATCTCCGGGTTCTGCCTTTGCCTTAGATTCTAAAGCGAAGGACACTTCCTCTTTAGGAGTTAAGAGATCAGTTGTGGAAGAAAGACTTTCAGAGTCAAACTCTGATTCACTGATAGAGGATTTACTAGTGTGTTCCCTTGTGCCAGCAAGAGATGCCCCGCTTGCTTCCTCTGTATCTCCTGCTTCACTTATTGATGTCCTACTTAATCCATCCCCACTGTATTCACTTACTGAGGATCTGCTTACTCCCTCTCCACTGTACTCACTAACTGATGTTCTGCTGGCGCTGTACTCGCTATCAGTTCTACTGGTGCCATAGGTTTCCCCTGATTCACTTACAGAGGTTCGTGTTCTCTCTGCCTCGAGCCCATTGCCCGATGTCTTACTACAAATTTCCGTGTCCCCGGACTCGCTGGCGGTTGTACTGACAGCATCTGGTTCTCCGGTTTCAGGGGGAGACATGCCGTGGATGGACTGCGACTTAATAGATACACTTGATCCATCAGGAGATAATGTTGAACCTCTGGTGCTTGCGTCTGCCTCACCTCTTTCAGTAACCGAGGTCGAACCTGTTTCTTCAGGAACTGTCTCCGTGGTTGTTCTGCTCACAGTTTCCGAGTCAGTTGATTCAGTTACTGATGCTGCACTCAGAACATCTTGGTCAATTGAACCATCAGTGGAGGCTTTCCTGGCAACGTCATTATCGTTTGATCCTGTGTGTGAGGTTCTGCTGATGGAATCTGCATCAGCATGATCACTCACTGATGACCTGCTACCAGATTCTGCGTCTGTTAACTCACCGGTGGAAGAGTTCATGTTGCTGTCTGATTCTCTGTGTTGTCCTGATGAGTTTGAGTTATGAACCACATAATTTCCTGGAGAGGAAGGATTCGACGAGGTGCCTCTGGCTTCATGAAACTCTTGCGAATTCGAGTTCTGGTTTGGTGCTGCCGTCTGGTCCGTCACCACACCCTCATTGTCGACGATCTCTGAGAGTGGGTTGTGCGTCTCTGTATCATTGATATCCTCCTCTTCTCCCATGTCGCCAATTACCAGTTCTATGTCGTCGCCCTCTAGTGAATGCTCAACTGCAGAATCTGCTGTAAGGTCGATGACTGTGTACTCCTCCATACCATCGTTGAGTCTTTCCTCCCCGGGAGTCGTTTTATCATCTGCATGACAGTTTTCGTCGCCACTAAGTGTGTGCTGACACGCGTCGACAAATATGGCTGTGTCACTATCACTCTCGTCATCCGATATAAAGAATTTGACGGATTTTTCGCTGTTACTAATTCCATGACCTTCAGAGAGCGAGGATTTGTCTGCTGCTTCTCCATTCTTATCGGAAGAAGTTTTATCACCACTTACCTTCGGAAGATGGACTTTATCTCTCCTTCCAGCTTTTGCAGGAATATCGTCCATATCCATGCCATCTTTTTCCTTCGACTTCAACTCTTCCTCTAGAGTCACCTCACCTTGCGGGTCACAAATCCATTCAGCAAGAGGGGAATCGAAGTCTTTATCCACGTCGGTTGCTATTACACTTGATTTCTGCATTTCGGTTATAGAGAGAGCACCGTTAGTTTCCATCGTTTCAACTGCCTCCGCACCTTCTTGGCTAATGCCATCTTGGATCGATGTTTTACCCTCACCTTGAGCATCGTCTATATGAGGGTCATCATATGGTTCACCGGAGGCATCCCTCTCCATCGTAGCATCTAGGGCAGACGTTGCCTCATCTTTTTCGTGTTGATCCATGTCTTCCTTCAGCTCTTGAACTGTGCCACCCTCCTCCTCGTCGTCTTCTTCTTCGCCCAACTTCTTCCTCTTGACGTCTTTGGTCTTAGTACGGTCTTTCTTGAAGCGCTGTTTGCTTGGTACCTGGGCTCCCTGCGGTTGTGGTCCAACTACACGCTTCAGCTTCCTCCACCTTGCCTTTCCTCCCATCATCTTCTGTGGAAGAAATAAAAACGTGGGACAGTGAGAAAGACATTCAAGTTATGGGACAATGAGTGGGATACACGGGATTTGGGACAATGAGAGGACCACTCATGTTTTGAGAGTGAGTGAGGTACTCAACCTATGAGAAGGTGAGAGGGAAAGTTTAAGTTATGGAGCAGTGAAAGGAACATTCCTATTATGGGACAATGAGCATGCATTTTAGTTATGGGGCACTGAGAGTAACACATAAGTTATGGAACAATGAAAGTGTGTTAAAGTTATGGAGCAGCGAGAGGGGCAGTTTTGTTTTAGGACTGTGAGCATGCAACGAAGTTATAAGGTAGTGAATGGGACACTCAAGTTATGAGACGGCGAAATGGATACTCAGGATATGGAGCAGAGGGACTTTCAAGTTAAGGGGCAGTGAGATGGACTTTCAAATTAAGGGGCAGTGTGATGGACTTTCAAATTAAGGGGCAGTGTGATGGACTTTCAAGTTATGGGGCAGTAAGATGGACTTTCATGTTAAGGGTCAGTGAGATGGACTTTCATGTTAAGGGGCAGTGAGATGGACTTTCATATTAAGGGGCAGTGATATGGACTTTCATGTTAAGGGACAGTGAGAAGGACTTTCATATTAAGAGGCAGTGAGATGGACTTTCATGTTAAGGGGCAGTGAGATGGACTTTCATATTAAGGGGCAGTGAGATGGACTTTCATGTTAAGGGGCAGTGAGATGGACTTTCATTTTAAGGGGGGCAGTGAGATGGATTTTTTTAAGGGGCAGTGAGGGGGACTTTTATTAAGGGGCAGGAGATGGATTTTCTGTTAAGGGGCAGTGAGTGGCTTTATTTTAAAGGGGGCAGTGAGATGGACTTTCATTTTAAAGGGGCAGTGAGTGGATTTCATGTTAAGGGGGCAGTGAGAGGGATTTCATATTAAGGGGAGTGGTGGCCTTTCATGTTAAAGGGGGCAGGAGATGGTTTTTTCATTTTAAGGGGCAGTGAGATGGACTTTCATTTTAAGGGGCAGTGGATGGATTTTATTTTAAAGGGGGGGCAGTGGATGGCTTTCTATTAAAAGGGGCAGTGAGTGGACTTTCATATTAAGGGGCAGTGAGATGGACTTTCATATTAAGGGGCAGTGAGATGGACTTTCATATTAAGGGGCAGTGAGATGGACTTTCATATTAAGGGGCAGTGAGATGGACTTTCATATTGGGGGCGTGAGTGGACTTTCATATTAAGGGGCAGTGAGATGGATTTCATTTTTAAGGGGCATGAGATGGACTTTCATATTAAGGGGCAGTGAGATGGACTACATTCAGTTGTTAGACGAAGAATGAGGGGAGACATGATCGAAGTGTATAAGTGTAAGATGGGTATTAACATAGGGGATATAAATAAGGTTTTGAGGATATCACTTCAAAAAAGAACCCGTAATAATGGATTCAAGTTGGATAAGTCTAGATTTCGAAAGGATATAGGAAAGTATTGGTTTGGAAATAGGGTAGTTGATGAGTGGAACAATCTGCCTAGTAGGGTTATTGAAGCTAAAATGTTGGGTACTTTCAAATTTAGATTAGATAAATACATAAGTGAGAGGGGTTGGATTTGAGTGAGACTTGCGTAATGAGTAAATAGAATCATCAAAACTTATTTCTTGGGTAGCATTGAAAATTGGGGGGGGAAAATATTTTGTTAGGGGGGAAGAATTGTAAAGGACTTACCATTTTGGGCCAGCAGGCCTGCTGCAGTGTTCCGCCTTTCTTATGTTCTTATGTTATGGGAAAGTATGAGAAATAATCATGTTATTCAACAGCGTTTTTTTCCAGTTTATTTAAAAGGTAAAAACTTTTATGCTGCCGTAAAATTTAGGGGAATAAATTTGGTAAAAATTACCGACAATTATGTAAAGTAAAAGAAAAAAGTGAAACCCAAATGTGACTTTTTATTGGGGCAACGTTTCCCTCTCCGGAGCTTCATCAACCCCATTACAAACAAACATGGACACAGAGGGTTTAAAAAAAAGGTAAAAGTGAGGTGCAATACTAGGAGGTACCATTTCGTGTTCATAGTGGTAGTTATTTTGTAGTAGTAGTAGTATTGTAAGTAGTAGTAGTAGTGACAAAAGAAACGATGGTAACAATTAATTCGTACATGAGTAAAAGGAAAAAAAACTTTTACTTGGGTAACTAAAATTGGGTTGGGCAAAATAGAGGGAAAAGAGGCAGCTTTTTCCCCAGTTTTCACTCTTTGTAAGGGCTTGGTAGTATAAAGGAGGACTATGTGATGGCAGGGTTTTTTTTCAGGAGGATTCTTTCTAAGACTTGGAATTTTGGAAAAACTGCCGTTTTTGTTTAATTTTTATTCGAAACAGGATCAGTGCTGGTTTGAAAGGGACTTGCGTCTGCGGAAAATTTGTTTTTTTTTGATCACTAATGGGCGTTTTTTTTGAATTCATGGATGAAATTGGGGGAATTTCGGGGTTGTACAAGGCGTTGTTCAAGTTATGTTCCTCATGCGTAAATTTTGTTCATTGAGGGGGGTCGAGGTTTTTGTGTTTACCTACGTAAATCTTGTCCGCCTCCCCGGGGATAGTGTAAACTGAACATTAAAATGGTATAAAAACCGAAGGTTGTTAGGGAAGCACATATCAAAAAGTTAGGTTCTTTAGAAAAGTTTCGCCTACACAGTAGGGTTCCAGTCGAGTACAGAAAAGTTGATAGAAGAAAGATACTTGATGGACTGATTTCATCGTCTTCAAGTATCTTTGCTTCTATCAACTTTTCTGTAATCGACTGAAAAAGCCTAGTGTAGGGAAAAAAGTTTCGAAAAGATACCTAATGTTGCTATGTGTCTTACTAACAACATAGGTAAACTCCGCATTGGACGGTTTGTGGTGCTTTGGGTTTTGTCATGGTTTGTCCTTTATTGAAGTGCTACAAGCTAAAAACCCGAGCGCCATCGCTTCAGCACTTCAGTCAAGGATCTAACCCGGAAAAAAAACCAAGCCCACAACCCGGGCAATGCGGAGTTTAAACTATACCCTGTGGAGGGGGTGACAAGTTTTTCGTAGGTGAAAAAGCAAAAAACCTGACACCGCTAAGAAAACATTTCGCGTAAAAACTAAGAACATAAGAACGAAGGAAAACTGCAGAAAGGCCTACGGCCCATGCGAGGGAGGTCAAAGTCTCCCCCCCGGCTTAAGCCAATGCACCCAACCCAGTCAGGTCAGGTCACATTGATTTAAAGGGGGGAACACGGGAACCGACCTGGTAGCACAAGCTATCAGGTCTAACTCACACCCACCCACATCCACTCATGTATTTATCCAACCTATTTTTAAAGCTACACAACGTTCTGGCCTCTATAACGGTACTTGGGAGTTTTTTTCCACTATCCACAACTCTATTACCAAAAGAGTACTTTCCTATATCCTTCCTGAATCTGAATTTTTCCAACTTAAAACCATTGCTGCGAGTCCTGTCTAGGCTAGATATTTTCAGCACACTATTTACATCCCCTTTATTTATTTCCTGTCTTCCATTTATACACCTCAATCATATCCCCCTAATTCTAGTCTTTCTAGAGAGTGCAGATTCAGGGCCTTAGTCTATCCTCATAGGGAAGGTTTCTGATACATGGGATCAACTTTGTCATCCCCCCTTTGTACTTTTTCCAGAGAATTTATATTCCATTCTGTAATAAGGTACCAAAACTGTGCAGCATAATCAAAAATGAGGCCTAACCAAGGATGTATAGAGTTGAAGAACAACCTGAGGACTCCTATTATTTATGCTTCTTGTTTATGAAGCCAAGGATTCTATTAGCTTTATTGCGAACACTTATGCACTGTTTGTCTTGGTTTCAGATTACTGCTAACCAGAACTCCTAAATCTTTTTCGCAATCCGTAATATTAAGATCTACATTATTTAGTTTATATGTGGCATGGTTATTGTCCTGTCCAACATTTAGAACTTTGCATTTGTCTATATTAAACTGCATCTGCCACTTCTCCGACCACTGCATCAGTCTATTCAAATCTTCCTGGAGTGCTCGAATGTCCTCGTCAGAATGAATTCGACGGCCTATTTTGGTGTCATCGGCAAACTTGCCGATGTCGCTCTTTATGCCCTCATCTATGTCGTTTATGTAGATTGTGAACAGCAGGGGCCCAACACTGACCCCCTGTGGAACACCGCTCGTGACACTTCCCCACTCTGATTTCACCCCATTTATGCAACTCTCTGCTGCCCATTTGTCAACCATGCCTCTATCCAGGAAAAAATTTCTCCTCCTATTCCATGTGCTTTAATTTTTCCCCAATAGTCTCTGATGTGGGCCCGTCCCCCAAACCCCTTTCTGAAGTCCATAACACAATTCATATTCATTACTGATCACCTCCTCAAATACCTTAGTGAAAAAATTTAAAAAAATTCGTAAGGCAGGAACGCCCCTTTTTAAACCATGCTGAGATTCGTTTTTTAATTTATGCTTTTAAGGTGGCTAGAACTCCCTGGGGAAAATTATTGATTCCAAAATTTTCCCACTAGGGGGTTGGGTTTTTGGGTTATATTCGAAGCTAAGGACCTGTCACCTTTTTTGAAAATGGGTATCAATTTGCCATTTTCCACTTATCTGGCACCATGCCAGTTGTAGTGATATGTTGAAAAGATTAGCCAAAGGTGTGCTAAGCTCCTCTTTACATTCCTTTAAAACCCCTTGCATACAGTTCATCGGGGCCGGGGTTTTGTTAGGTTTTAATTTATCTATTTTTTGCCTAAGGACCATGTCACTTGTGACCCTAATAGTACACAGTTTATTATCGTCCTGTTCTACATAATTTATCATTACTGGAATATCGCTGGTATCCTCCTGTGAAAAACTGAGAGGAAGTATGTGTTAAAAATTCTACACATTTCCTTTATCACTGTCAGTGAGCTGACCCGAGGAACTTTTGAGTGGGCCTATCTAGTCCCTGATCTTACTTTCTGTATACCTGAAAGAATCCTTTTGGGTTAGTCTTCG